TACAACTAACCCCTCAGAAATACAAGCAATTATCAGGGAATACTATGAAAAACTACGTCAACAAACTGGACAACTTAGAAGAAATGGACAAATTCCTAAACCCACACTCACTACCAATATTCACACGGGAAGAGAGAGTAAATCTGAACAGACCCATAACCAGTGAAGAAATTGAATCAGTTATCAAAAATCTCCCAGCAAATAAGAGCTCTGGGCCAGATGGCTTCCCTGGGGAATTCTACCAGACATTTAAAACAGAATTAATACCCATTCTTCTCAAGCTATTCCAAAAAATAGAAATCGGATGAAAACTTCCAGACTCATTCTATGAAGCCAACATCCCTTTTTTTAAAAATTTTTTAAATGTTTTTATTTATTTTTGAGAGAGACAGCATGAACAGAGGAGGGTCAGAGAAAGAGGGAGACACAGAATCTGAAAGAGGCTCATGCTCTGAGCTAGCTGTCAGCACAGAGCCAGACGTGGGGCTCGAACCCACGAACTGTGAGATCATGACCTGAGCCGATGTTGGATGCTTAACCGACTGAGCCACCCAGGTGCCCCTATGAAGCCAACATCACTTTGATTCCCAAGCCATACAGATACCAAGCAAAAAAAGAGAACTACAGGCCAATATCCTTGATGAATACAAATGCAAACATCCTCAACAAGATGCTTGCAAATCGAATGCAACAGCACAGAAAAAGAATTGTCCACCATGATCAAGTAGGATTCATTCCTGGGCTACAGGGCTGGTTCAGTATTTGCAAATCAACCAATGTGATACATCACATCAACAAAAGAAAAGATAAAAACCATATGATCCTGTCGACAGATGCAGAAAAAGCATTTGACAAAATACAGCATCCCTTCTTAATAAAGATCCTCGAGAAAGTCAGGATAGAAGGAATTAACTTAAACATCAGAAAAGCCATGTATGAGAAGCCCTCAGCTAACATCATCCTCAATGGGGAAAAACTAAGAGCTTTACCCTTGAAGTCAGGAAAAGACCAGGGATGTCCTCTTTCACCACTGTTGTTTAACATAGTGCTGGAAGTTCTATCATCAGCACTCAACAACAAAAGGAAATAAAAGACCTCAGAATTGGCAAAGAAGTCAAACTTTCACTTTTCGCAGATGACATGATACTTTACATAGAAAACCCAACAGACTCCACCAGAAGCCTACTAGAACTGATCCATGAATTGAGCAAAGTTGCAGGATTCAAATCAATGTACAGAAATCGGTTGCATTTTTATACACCGATAATGAAGCAAGAGAAAGAGAAATCAAGAAACTGATCCCACTCAAAATTGCACAAAAAAACGTAAAATACCTAGGAGGAAACGTAACTGAAGACATAGGAGATCTGTATGATGAAAACTATAGAAAACTTATGAAGGAAATTGAGGAAGACACAAAGAAATGGAAAAACATTCCATACTCACGGAGTGGAAGAATAAATATTATTAAAATGTCATTACTTGGGGCATCTGAGTGGCTCAGTTGGTTAAACATCCGACCTTGGCTCAGGTCACGATCTCATGGTTTGTGGGTTCAAGCCCTGTGTCGGGATGTGTGCTGACAGTCAGCTCAGAGCCTGGAGCCTGTTTTGGATTCTGTGTCTCCCTCTCTCTCTGACCATCCCCTGCTCACGCTGTCTCTCTCTCAGAAATAAATTTAAAAAAAACCACACATTAAAAAAACCTTAAAATGTCATTACCACCCAAAGCAATCTACACATTCAATGCAATTCCAATCAAAATTGCACCAGCAGTTTTCTCAAAACTAGAACAAACTATCCTAAAGTTTGTATGGAACCACGAAAGACCCTGAATTTCCAAAGTAATATTGAAGAAGAAAACCTAAACGGGAGGCCTCACCATCCCAGACTTTAGCCTCTACTACAAAACTGTAATCATCAAGACAGTATGGTATTGGCACAAAAACAGACACATAGACCAATGGAATAAACTCAGATTTGGACCCAGAAGTGTACAGCCAACTAATCTTTGATAAAATGGGAAAGAGTATCCAATGGAAAAAAGACAGCCTCTTTAACAGATGGTGCTAGGAGAACTGGACAGCAACATGCAGAAGAATGAAACTAGATCGTTTTCTCACACCATACACCAAAATAAACTCAAAATAAAGGACCTGAATGTGAGACAGGAAACCATCAAAACCCTAGAAGAGAAAGCAGCAAACAACTTCCTTGGCCTCAACTGCAGCAATTTCTTACTTGACACATCCCCAAAGGCAAGGGAATCAAGAGCAAAAATGAACTATTGGGACCTCATCAAGATAAAAAGCTTCTGCACGGCAAAGGAAACAATCAATAAAACTAATAGACAACTGATGGAATGGGAAAGATAGTTGCAAATGACATATCAGATAAAGGGCTAGTATCCAAAATCTATAAGGAACTCCTCAAACTCCACACTGAAAAACAAATAATCCAGTGAAGAAATGGGTAGAAGACATGAACAGACACTTCTCCAAAGAGGACACCCAGGTGGCCAACAAACACATGAAACGATGCTCAGCGTCCCTCATCATCAGGGAAATACAAATCAAAACGACACTGAGATACCACCTCACGCTGGTCAGAGTGGTGAAAGTGAAGATATCAGGAGACTCTAGGTGCTGGCGAGGATGTGGAGAAACGGGAACCTTCCTACTGTTGGTGGGAATATAAGCTGGTGCAAACCCTCTGGAAAACAGTGTGGAGGTTCCTCAAAAAATTTAACAATAGAACTCCCCTATGACCCAGCAATAGCACTGCTAGGAATTTACTCAAGGGACACAGGAGTGCTGATGCATAGGGGCACATGTACCCCAATGTTCATAGCAGCACTCTCAACAATAGCCAAAACATGGAAAGAGCCTAAGTGTCCATAAACTGACGAATGGATCAAAAAGATGTGGTTTATCTATACAATGGAATACTACATGGCGATGAGAAAGAATGAAATCTGGCCATGTGTAGCAACATGGATGGAACTTGAGGGTGGTATGCTGAGCAAAATAAGTCAGACAGAGAAGGACAGATACCATATGTTTGCACGTATAGGTGGATTAGGAGGAACTTAATGGAGGACTATGGGGGAGAAGAAGGGAAAAATAGTTGGGGAGAGGGAGGGAGGCAAACCATGAGAGACTCTTGAATACTGAGAACAAACTGAGTGCTGATGGGGGTGGGGGAGAGGGGAAGGGGGTTGATGGGCATGGAGGAGGGCACTTGTTGGGATGAACATTGGGTGTTATATGGAAACCAACTTGACAGTAAACTATTTAAGAAAAATAAAATAAAAACATAAAACAAGAAGATGTATCCTCCGTATAGTTGTCCATCTCATTGATCAACATAGCCTGCCTTACACCCCATGTGTCCCATGCATACTGAACCATCCTTGGCTAATCGTTATTCAGTCCCTTCTCTTGCATCTCTACTTTGAGCTGTATTTTTCCTGTTTTCTCTGGAATGGCTCTCTACTCCTCAACTTCTGTTGCTCTTTGAAGATTCTGCTCATGCACCCTCTCCTCTCATAACTCCTGTTCTGTGTGACTTGAGTTTCTCTCAAATACTTTTCTCATTTTAACAGTTGTGTTATCTCTTTGTGTCTGGGCTATCGTTTGATGTCCTGATGTTCAGCATTGTGGCTTGCACATAGGATGACCTGAGGGGGAAATATTTTACATGAATGAATAAATAATTGAAGGTAAGACCTAGAAATCATAGTTATAATGTCATGAACTGTCTGAAAGAAATATACATTTATTTTAGTGGTTGAGAACATAATTATTCTTTAAACAGTGAAGTCAGTAACTAGAGAAATTGAGAGAGCGGATCTAGAATGGAGGCCTAGAATTGGGTAAGGATTAGTGATTAGAGAAATGAATTGCTTTAAGTGATGGTATTTTACAATGGAGTTTTTTCCTAGGATGTGAGCAAATAGATATCAAACACCAAAGTAAGCATAACAATTTATAATGGAGAATTCACAGGAAGCTGTGTTTGAAAAGAGATTAGATGGTTTATGACAATTCTCAGCTCCTCATCCACATCAAGCAGATGTAAATGAACAAAGAATTTAAATTAAAAAGATATCGTAAAGAGGATTTTGGAAAAACGTTGCTGGCGGACACTGGGCTCTACTACCTATCTCGAGGGAAAGGGTAGATTGTACCTGTCCTTCACCTTGTGCCCATGAAAGGGGCTTCATTGGGACCACTCAGAGTTAACACACACATTGGTCTGGTGTCTGATTCCTGACTGAACAATGGATAGTGTAAAACATGGCCTGATTAGCTATAGATAAGAGACCTAGAAATGACTGCAGTGAGTCTGTATTCCCAACATAGATCATGGGGAAGAATGCATTACTGTTTCTCATGGACCAGTGATGGTTAAGATAAAGCTGGAGTCAGATGGTTGCCTGAAGGTGCACATAATCATCAGCAGTGATAAACTGAAGGCATCACCCAATTTTCAGAGGGTAAAAATGAAATAAGTGATCAGACCAACTAGAACAGAGATCAAGGGAACTGCAGGTGGCAACTCACGGATTTCCTGAGAGCACCATGGGAGAAATGGTCAGTTCAGACATCTGCCAGGTCTGGAGAAAAGCCATCACTCCAGTAAAAACTTTCCTTAACCTTTACCTCTCTTTATTCTTCATGTTTCAACCCAAAGAGGTCAGAAACTTTAGTTAACAGATACAGCTGAAGGATAAAATGGTGGTGGGGGAAGAGACCAGAGGCCAGCCTTCTTCCTTTGCCCCAGGTTTTCATAGATATGAGGGGGAAAGAGATAGCAGAAGCCTTAATTTTTTTTTAAGATATGTGTTTCCTTTATTTTTAAAAATATATTGTCAAATTGGCTAACATAGAGTGTGTACACGTGCTCTTGGTTTTGGGGGTAGATTCCTGTGGTTCATCACTTACATACAACACCCAGTGTTCATCCCAAAAGTGCCTTTCTTAATGCCCATCACCCATTAAAAATCGGGAATTCTTCATGAGTTTCCGTGTTCTCCTTGTGCAGGGACCATGCTAATCTTCTCTGCATCGTTCCAATTTCAGCATATGTGCCACCAAAGCAAGCCCGAGCAGAAGCCTTAATTACAAGGATGCTTGGAATTTGGAACACACAAAGTGGACATTTCTCAAGTTGAAACGATATTTCATCACTGAAGAATTATTAAGAATGTCTTGAGATGTGCCTGAATTTTCTAGAGGGTGGGGAGAAGACAGAGTCTCACCAAATACATGGGCAAGACCAATGAGAGGTGACAACGTGGCTTTATAATTTCATTCCAAGAATCGTGTTTGTCCAATGTGCTGATGACATTTTACCGGGAGCTTGGTGACCACTTGGGCAGTGGTGACCACCTTGGTGACCAGGTTGGCCAGCTATTGAAAGTCTCTGTGCCAATTATTTCAATAATTTACATGTTAAGTCAGTTCTATTATATTTTATAGACATTCCAGATTCCTCTTGAATTTCCCCCTAGATATCAATGCTCGGGTGCTTCAGTTTTTGCCTCTGTCTTCTGAATCTCTGTGGTTAGTCCTAATAAGAGAGAAATTGCACATGTGGTGAGGCTAACTCAGATAAGCTGGAATAGATTTTCATACTCTCCAGTTCTGGCCTCCTGGATAGAATCAATACTATTGATCATAGTGGCTGAGTTGGCCAGACAGCCACTACCCCAAGAAAAGGATCTTCTCTGTCTGCTGGTGAAAATTCACAGGAAGACATGGAAACATTTTTCAGAGAATGATGCATTTTGTGCAGGCCGGGTTAGCAAATTAATAGAATTAAGGGGAGTATGCTCTTTTTCGTCTTGGCTGTTTTGAGCATTGACACTGATATTAGGAATAGTCTGTATTCCATTTATTATGAAATTTTTGCTGATTTTCAAAAGAAATGAAGATTACTCTATTTTTAGGCTGTTGTAGCAGTCAGAGTTCAATCTGAAGAACAGGCAGTCTGAGTATCCTGGTAAGGAATTTGTTATAGGAATTAGACCTTGTATATTGGAGAGAGGAACTGGAGAATTAAGGATTGGCAAGGGGAGTTAAATGCTCAGAGAAAGGTCACTAACCATCCTGAGAGCAAGGGAGTGAGTTAGAGCTTAAAGGGAAATCCAGAGGTTCAGTGTGCCTCAGAAGACGTGCCCTTGTAGAGAGAGACTGTTTGTGGTCCTCAGCTCTGTGACTTTGCAGCAAAGCATCTGGTGGTAGGACTGGGGTGCTGTTAGTTAGCAAGATCAGCAGGTGGGAAGGAGAGCTGGGTGCTGAACGGGTAAGAGCTTGGACCAGCTGGGACCTCTGTATCTATCCCCAACACACTCTAATCTCACAGAATAATGGTTGCTGCTTCTGCCTCCCAAATCTCATATGACTTAATGTTTGACAAACTCTAACCCAGAATTACATAGAGAAGGAGAGTCTGGAAAACATAGTTCTCAGCATAACCAGGTTGACAGTAGTCACCAGTCAACCCCTTGCCCAATTGACATACATATACACCTCTTTTACCTACAGTGAACTTCCCAATAAGGACAATAGCAAAATGAAGTGTCTGCCTAACATGATCTAATCTTTCCTTTGTAAGATGGTAGAAACACTAACATAAACTCTCACTTTAACCATTTTGGGGTGATATTTATTCCTCTTCTGGTGAAGTCACACTCCCCCTTGACATACTGTTACTTAAATGCTGAGTTGTAAGGTTGACTTATAGAATGGGCGAAAGAACTGACAAAGGAGGAAAATCCAAGAAGAATCAATTAACACATTTATACAGATATATTCACATCAAAATAAGAAGTATTCATTTATAGCTACTATGGTTTGTTTTTCTACAGCTGTTTATAAGATCATAGCTGGTGGTTATAACTTCTTTCTTCCAATACCTGCTTGATATTCCTTTTACCCTCAGCAAGCACTTCAGCTGCTCCTGGTTCCTTGTCTATGAAGGTGACCAAACCTTCATTTTTGTATGGGGTTGTTTTAGTTTTCCATTAACTTTGACCACAGGCCATGGAAAAACTAAGAGGTGCACCAGAGGATCCCCTGCATTCTAGACATGCTCCTCTCTTCTCCTATTGTATTAAAAGTAATTTAATTTACTTTTGTCAGAGAATAAATAGGATAAATCACTCAGATGTATAGTAACCATATCTTCACTCATTGTTTCACTGACTCAAATAGATTTAAGTGACAGTGTGGCAGTATCAACTTTTATTTTAATGGCATAATTCTTATGTTCCCAGTGGAAGTCTTTTTCTCTTGGGAATGAAGACTTGTGAATAAGCAGAGCACAACATGAAGTTGGGGAAATTTTTGGCTAGATGATCACTAGGAGAAATGTATGTGACCACTTTTGAATCCACCTCTTAAATCTCTGATCTGTGAAGGAAAGATAGCATTGCATATTGGTTGCCCATAAAGGGTATCTACCATGTCTTTGAGGTGATCAACCCAACCTTTGCGAAGTGTTTCCACCCAACTAGTATACTGAGTCTTCAAAAATGCATTCCACAATTTGGCAGTTTCAGAGTGTTAGGGAACATGATAATACCAGTAAACTGTGAATGTGAGGCTGTTGATACCATTAAACTGAGCATGAGGCTGTTGCTGTACTGGTCAGATTTCTGTTAAAAGCAATGTTATGTGATATCAGTGATATAGTGGATCAGTGCAAGAAAAGGAGAAGCAATCATGGATCCTGCAGTCTAGATTATGATATAGCAATTAGCAGTTGATATAACCATATAATCATGGGGTAGGGCAATGAATGGGACTAGCCTTGCCAGATAAAAGTAAACTGATTTAGTGGCTCCATAATATTAGGTATATGGAGACAAAGCATTCATCAGGACAATAGCTGGATGTGCCAGTGGATGTCTTGACTTACTCCATCAGCTGTATTGCATTTCTCACTAGATTAAATTTATGATAATCCCCTGACATTTTTAGCAGATTCCTCTGTCTTCTGTCTAGGCTAGATATGAAGGTGGAATAGGTGTGTGGTTAGAATAACCACTCTCTATTTTCTGTGGCCTTGAGGGTGACAGTAATATTTGCAATCTCTCCAAGAATGCAGCATTGCTATGGCTTATTATTTTGGTAAGTACAGTCAGTTCTAGTGGCTTCCAGGTAGCCTTTCCTACAAGAATTGTCCTCATGTTATGTGTCTGGAAACCAATGTGGGGACTCTGCCAGTTTCTGAGTATGTCTACTGGCTTCACATTATGGAACAGAGGAGATAGGCACAGATTGGTTTTGGGGGACCCCCTATACCTACTGAGATAGACCTGGGCCAAAACTTCATTAGCACAGGGCCTCTTTAAGCCTCTAAACTGACTGGTAGATCACAGTGACATTTTGGGTCACCAGAAATTAGTGTCAGTTCAAAGCTATAGTTCAATAATTCCTGAAAGGCCTGTATAACCTTTTCCCTTCTTCAATCCAAGTCATCTTGGTAAATGGCTACTGGTCACACTGGGAAGATCAGGAGAAGGATCTGAGGTATAAATATTTAGCAGTGCACAGTTTCCTTTCTCAAAGGTACCTGGATTCCTCTTTCCTCAGATGACTAGGTCTGTAAACTGGCTCAAGTCTGAGAATTAGTTGGGGGCTGTCCTTTGACCATTCAAGACAGATTTCATTTTGATCTAGAACTTTTTCACTTCTACAAGTCAAAACTCTAATTTTTTCGGCCCTTCTATTTTAGTCCTTAGGACAATATGATGAATTAGCCAACATCAATAATCTTTGTGGCTTCAACCATTCTGATTACTGCTTTGGCTCTAACTATTCAATGTAAATAGGAACAATCATGCAATTTCTTTTATGTGCAAATGGCTCCTTCTCAAGGAGTGTATTTTGCATGTAATCTTCTAGGTCATTGCAGGAATTGGGCCTGGAAGCAATGACAGGTGGTGGGAGAAGGTCCAGAGGAGGACCTGCAATGCCCTATAAGTAACTACCTCAGGGCACTTCAATGTAAGTTCTTCAGACAAGGGAGTAAAGTCTGTCTGCTTCTATTGGGGAAAAAGCTCAGCAGAATTTTCAGGGTGCATCTGCTTCATTAAAATCTGTGCATTAAATCCCCCCATCCTTATTTTCAAGATCCTGCCTCCAAATTTAACATAAAAAACTATGCAGTTCTGGACTCAATCTGCACTGTACTTAAGTCACCCACAGGATTAGACTTTTGGTCTGATTTTCAGAAATCTTGTGACTGTAGTTATAGGAAATAAGATTTTCTTTTAGGGCAGTTATAAAAGCTTTCTGATTCTTTGGGGTGCCTGGGTGGCTTAATGGGATAAGCATCTGCTTTTGGCTCAGGTCATGATCTCACGGTTCATGAGTTTGAGCCCCCACATCAGGCTCTGGGCTGACAGCTCAGAGCCTGGAGCCTGCTTAGGATTCTGTTGTCTCCATCTTTCTCTGCCCCTCCCCCACTTGTGTTTTCTCTCTCTCTCTCTCTCTCTCTCTCTCAAAAATAAACATTACAAATTTTAAACAAGAAGTCTATGAATGTATTTGCCTTTCATGGCTACAGCAAGGCACCTGATAGTGTGGGCCTCGGGTTTCTTTTGGTGAACAGATATATTAGTTATCTGTTAGTATATAACAAATCATCACAAATTTATGGGCTTAAAACAACACACATTTATTACCTCACAGTTTTCATGGGTCAGGAGTCAGGATACAGGTTCGTCTGGTCCTCTTCTTAGGGTCTCACAAGGCTGCTGCCAAGGTGTCAGAGAGGGCTGGGGTCCTCACCTGCAGCTTAGGGTCTCTTCCAAGTTCACATGATTGTTGGCAGAAATCTTTTCTTTGCTGCTGTAGATCTCATGGAAGCTTTGTTGTCAAGGCTGGTAGGAATGAGCCTCTCTGACACTTAACTTTCTTTTAAAAACTCTGATGATTAGATCAAGCACACCCCAGATAAGCTCGATTTTGATTAACTCAAAGTCAGCTGATAGGAACTTAGCTGTGGGAGTAATATCCCACAGCTCCCCACCCCACCCCACCCAAGGGCAGGGCATTACACAAGGAGGGTATACCAGGGAGCAGGAATCTTGGGGCTTTCTTAGAACTGTGCCTACCACAACTAGGGTGGCAGCTAAGTATATATCTGGGGAAACTGGAATCTGCCAGCACATCTGTATCTGTCTCTCATTACCTTTAGCCAATGACCAACTTCAACGGGTAATAATCATGCCACTTTACTTATTCCTCACCCAAACCATGCAACTTCCTGAGTGAC